TGAAAATGAGTATGGCGCACTTCAAGAACTGAAATCGTAGCTTCAAAAAATACGTGCAGTGCGTGTATAAATGCGCCGCTTGTTTCAGGCCGAAAATCTATCTTTAAAAGAAGAGAAACTGCGATTGGAATGCGAAAGTGATGATTTAGCCCGTGACCTCGTAATGAGCAAAATTGAGCTTAGACGAAACTTAGATGCGGTATCGTTATTTTGTAAATTATTAGCACGTGTTTATGAATTCTTTAGGCTGAAGATAACATTGAATGCTTGCAGAATCAGGTGGAAAACCTTGGCCGGCTCTGCAAGGATCTGCAGGATGACAATCGTCGCCTGTTAGACGAATCCGAACGGGTAAATTCACAACGAATCATACTGGATTTTTATCTATTCTCGTAATTAGACAAGAAGCCTTTTATCTGGGCGTTATCACTCATCGCAAATGTGGGTTACTAACCAAAGATTTCAATCCGTAACATTCTGTTTCAGTCCTAATAGGGACAGTGTCGTTGTTTCATTTCTCGTTAATGAGTTCTTTTGTTTCAGTTTTTATAGAGATATTGAAGTAAATCTTCGTATTTTTTGGTCCTGAATCTCTGTAAGCATAGCTAATGGATAAACCGCTGTAACTCATCATAACTCATGTATACTGAAAAATGGTATTGTCACTGATTAGAATCACACCCTTCAGCTTGTCTGATTGATGGAAGTCCGGGGCCTTGATTGGACCTTCTATAGCTGCTGCAATTGCAACTTGAAGGGAACAGCTATAACGAGTTGATTATGTACAACAACTTTATTAGCGACGCCTTCACAAATGCGCAAAGGCCCTAAACTTAATATGAGATTTCATTCAAATTTTGGTATTTCTTTTAGCGGGGTGTCTAAGATAAGCTGGTAGACCGTTAGACCATTGCGATCAGAAGCCAGTCTGATCCTGGCAGTTTTGATGCTGGTCTTATACGGAACAGTGCCATATGCTGAATATCCTGGAGCCATCTTGTCCTTGATATGCCCTTTGGCCGTCGTTCGCATGGTTTCTTCAAGGTAGTCTATCGCAAGATATGATTCTAAAATCCTGGTCACGTGCGCCCGCATTCACAGTTTTAGTTTCATTTCGAAGGCATGAAAAGGGGCAGCTGTTATTTGCTTAAATTGTCGTTGTTGGGTTTTGAGTATTGACGTTTGTCTAAATTTTCGTAATTTTTTTATTTTTGAACTCGGGCAGCTTATTATATATTGGTTGAGTTCATTATTATGTTGTTTCAGTATGTAATAGGTGCTGTTGTGCATTTAATGTAGCATTCAGTGTATTGTTTTAATAGTTGAAATCAATTAGCTATTTCAGGTGAAGGAAATGTGTCGCCGTGAACTTGCAAAATTAGAAGAGGAGGTTGTTCAGCTAAATGCGATTGTTGCACATTACAAACAAGTTAATTGTTACTGCATATTTTTTTTTTACAAATAACTGTTTGATTCAGATCTGCTCAGACATTTCCACGCGCTTGGAAGATCAGCGGAAAAGCGCTGAAGAGGAAAAAAACGCGTTCATGGTTTGTAGTTTTGTAGTTTTGTCGTAGTTGTAGTTTTGTCGCTTTTCGTTAGGTAGTCAGTTTTACTGCCTAAACAGAACCATAGTTAGATGTATTTTTTAGTAAAGACCTGTGCATACAGAACCAGAAAACAGTTATCACAAAATGGTAGCAGCACAGAACAGTGGGTATGACATGAGTTTGTGTAAGCTGGCACATTGAACTTAACACGGTATTGGAACAAAACAACCGTCGAAAGGAATGAGGCAAAACAGTTGAACCATCCTAGTGCTCATCAAGAGAAAGCAGTGTTCACTGTTTCATGTGTGTTAGATTCGATTGATTTCATTTCTTCAATAATGTTTCTGACTGAATAAGCTGCTGTGGAACTTGGACATTTACAGGGAAATACTCAAAGAAGCTATGGCGTTCAAATATCTGTTTGGAACCTGCTGTTATGTGAATGTACCCTAAGCAAAAGCCTTCAGAAACTAAATTTAGATGCGTACTGTCTACCATGTTGATTGATGAAAGATACGCCTGATTATCAGACGTGCTGCGTAGATATAATATTGTCTTTGTTATCCATACAGGACAATAGAATTGGAAAAATGATAGATTTAACTTTGGAAGGTCTTCATGATATCAAAATTATTTGTGCAGTGGAGTATCGATCATCCAAACTGGAATTCAATCAGCTTGACATCTTCACGATTTGAGCGTTATGGTATATACGTAGATTACTTGTATATCATAATACAGGTCATTGATTTGTTTGGGAAGCGTGTTATTTGCGATTGTTTTGACTGAGGTAGAGTAGGTTTTTTAAATTTTTCAGTTTTTACAGAAAAAGCTTAATTTACATTAATGGTTTTAATCCTTCCATTCATATACAGTGTGTCCGTTTAAAAGTTTAAGTAATAAAGCTTCGTGAGTCCTGAAAAGGCTGGAATGTTTCATTCGTGGTAAAATGTATTTACCGTTTATAGTACAATCAAATATTGGCTCAGGAACTGTTGAGAGGTTTCTGTTTTCCTCAAGAATACAGTTGCAACCGTCGATGAAGTGAACTTATTTTGCAAACTTCTAGTTCTGTCATGTGAACTTAAAATTGGATATTTTGTTCGGGCGATGTACGTTGTTGATGGAAGCCTCCAAACTTGAGGTTTAAAAGTCTTGCCTTACGCTATACTGACGAGGCGTCTTGGATTTATGGACATTGAGCGAGATGGAACCAGAAATTCTGACAGCCGTGGGGAATTCCTGATATTCCATTTTTAAGAGAAAACAATCTAAATTTGAAGTTTCGGTTTTCATGCAGTCTTCGTACACATTTTTCTGTTCACCGAAGTTATTTTTGTTTACCG